GTGCCCCTGGCTCCTCGTCAGCTCCAGCACTCTCTTTAGGCAGAGCTGCCTCTACCCCCGGACTGGGCGCCAGACAAGCCGCCTGGTGCCTGGTGCCCTCTTGCTTGCGCAGGCTGAGGCATAAAGCATCCTGGGGTTTGAGCTGAGATGGGCCCGCCTCTCAGTAGGATGGGGGAGGCTGGCACCGGGTCAGGACCTGTGGACCCAAGCCTCAGAGTCCAGAGGGTGCAGCCAGTGTGACTCACTGGGACATGGGGTGGGTGGGGGAGCACTGGCCCTTATGAGGGCAACCTCCCTGCAAGGGTCCAGTCCAGGAAGTGAGGCTGGGTCCTGACCCGCAGCAGCTGGGCCCAGGAGTTGGTTCTGGCGCCGACAGATGCAGGTGGTGAGAGAGGAGCAGGCAGGTCATGTTGGAGCCTGCTAGGCAGGATGGAGTTTAGGATTGGCTGGGCAGGTCCAGTATTCTGCTCATGCATCCCGCGTCTGGCCTCTGGGGCTTATTGGCACCCCCACCTCCCCATCTCCACCCACTGCTTTCCTTGCCCAGCTTCTCTGTAAAGGGCTGTGGTTCTGAGAGGGGCCTGGCCTTGGAGCAATGTTGTCACCTCCACTTCCTGTCTTGCTGTCTCCCTCCTGTCCGTCTCCCCATTTATCCCACAACTTCCTGTATTCTGCCATGCTGAGGCCAAGGGGCCCCCAGAAGGAACTGGAGTCTTTAGCTTGGAGAACAGGAGAAGATGATTCATTCATTCATTTGATCATGTACACATGTATTTGCTTCCATTCATTCACTCTTTCCCCTTCAATTACTCCTTCATTCATTCTCGGGACACTTACTGAGCATCTACTATGTTCAAGACCCTGAGTGTTTGGTGGGAGTGGGGGCAGGATACTCTGATGAATCAACTCCATCCCTGCAGCAACCATTCAAGGTCAAGAAGGGGAAATTAGCACAAATCAGCCCAATTTAAGAGAAAAAACAGTGTGAGAGAGAAATGAAGGGCTGTGAAGTGTGGGGGGGGGAAGTGGTGGGGGGGGAACAGAGGGGACTGAGGAGGAGGATGGAAGTCCCACTTAGGAGGGGCACAGAAGACTTCCTGGAGGTGGTGCTGTTTGAGCCAGGCCTGGATGGGGGACAGGGTTGGGATGTAGAGTTCTCAGAGGGCATCAGGACAGAGGGAACAGCAGGAACAGAGGGACCCTCAGGTGTGTGAGGGAACAGTTGGGAGCTCTGTTCATGGCTGGAGACAATTAGAAGAAATGAGTCTGGATGGGGCAGAGGACAGGACATGGGCTCCCATCTGTCTGCCTTCTGTCACAGGCCAGGGGAGCAGCCTTGTTCTGGGTGACCCAGAGCCACGGTCATGGGGTAATGGCAAGACCCTTGTGGCTATTAGAGCTCTTTAATTGTTCAGTCAGCCTTAGATGGAGTGAGCCCTTCAATCTTGGAGGTATGTAAGTGGAGGCTGGGATAGTAGGGGTGTGTGTGTGTGAGTGGAGCAGGGGAGAGTTATAGGTTCTGACCCATGGAGGGGTTCAGCTAGGGCAGTTCTGAAGGTGGGAGTTGGAGTGGATGACATCAGAGGTCCCTTCCTACCCAGAGTTTGGGGTCCTATCTGGAAAGGCTAAAAGGCCCAGCAGAGGGAATTCCTGGGAGTTTGGTTTTGTATTCACTCATTCATTTCCTCATTTGACCCTATGCCACTTCCTCCCTCCTTTCCTTCCTTCCTTCCTTCCTTCCTTCCTTCCTTCCTTCCTTCCTTCCTTCCCTTCCTTCCATCATTCAGTCACTAAACCCTTGTTCTGGGCAGACCCCATGCTGAGGACTCAGTCTGATGGGGGAGACAGACCATGCCAGACAGTGACAACCTGGTATCACTGTGGCATACAAATGGAGGTTACTTCGCTGTGTTTTGTCACTGAGTGGGGCAGTAGAGCTGGGACATGGGCCTGAAGAATGAATGCAGACATGTGTCTTCCAGCCAGGAGGGCCCCATCTGTGGGGCCAGATGAAGGACGTCACGTGGGGAAACAAAGTGCTTGTGGGAGAGAATACTCAGGGTCCGGGGCCTAAGAGGTAGGCTTTCTTGATTCACAGGACTCCCCAGAGGCGCACTTGGGGACCAGGCCTTTGGGTTACATGAGCCTATGGGGTTCGGGCACTCCTAGAGAAGTCCTTGGTCTGCATAAGCTGTAAGAGGCTACGGAGAGTGCTGGTTACGCCCGTGGGCTCTGGACTTCGATCGGGGTTCAAATCCTTATGCTAACTCTTATCAACTGCATGACTTTGGACAAATGACTCTTTGCCTCCAGTTTTCCTCTGTAGGAGAATAATAATGGTAGTATCTTCCTCCTAGGATGAGGCCCAAATGTGGTACCATATCTGAGGTGCTTGCACAGGGCTGGGCGTGCCCAAAAAGCTACGACAGTGACGGTGGCCATGAGAGGGATGGACAGTCACGAGCCACCTCAACAGTCTCTGGGTCTCATTCTCCCCACCTGTGTCTCCAGCTCATTGGCTCCCACAGTACGGTCCCTGGACCAGCAGCATCAGCATCCCTTGGGATCTTATCAGAAATGCAGATTCTTGGGCTCTCCGGGAGCTTTTGCTTTCAGCAGTCTGAATGTTAAAACGCCCTCTGCGTGATTCTGATGCAGGCTGAAGTTTGGGGACCACCGACCTCACTCTCAGTTAAGACCTCCTCTCTACCCGCCTTTCCAGGACTGTGACTCATCCAGGGGTGTGGTGTGTTTCCCATGTTTAGGGCCCTAGTCTGGGGGCTGATGGGGAGAGGGCACAGAGATGAGTAAGATGTGGTGCCAGCCCTCACGGGGCTTCCAGGATGGTCGAGAAGGGGAGGCAGATACCATGGAAATGTTCACTGGAGCCACAGACCGAACAGAGCTGCCGAAGAGACACGAGTCAGTTCTGTACTAAAGAGCAGAGAGGAGAGAGACCTTTGTGGGCTGCAGAGCCCTCTGCAGAAAGGTCTGGCTCTCTGTGGCTTGTTCCTGACAGTATACTGATTCAGCCTTGCTGGGAGTCCTCTTGTAAGTCTCACTGAAGCCTCTCTTACTTTGTGCTTTGCTGTGGGGTGAGATGGACTGGGCTCTAGGCTTGAGGTTAGGAATAGTGATTCTAGACAACTTCCTCATGGACTTTGGGTGGCTCACTTGTCATCCTTGGGCTTCAGTGTACCCCTCTGTAAGATAGGGGGAACTAGACTGAGTCCAGTGAGTCTGAGACATTGGGGGCCACTGGCGAGCGGGTAGGCTGGGGACCAGAAGCTCTCTGGGTTTCATTCCCCCCCTCTGTACCATGTGGCCCTGAAATTGCCCTGCTTGGATGCCATGTGATGAGCTGTCCCTTCTCTGGGCTGGTTTTCTTACCAGTCCAGGGAGGTCTCATGATTCTGTCCTGTTCACGTCACATGGCTTTTATCATGTGGAACACGTTCTTCATTCTTAGAGGCTTCCTGATACCTCAGCCCAGTTGCCTGGCATTCGAGGCCCTCCTCAACAGATTCCCAGCTTTTTTTTCTGCAAGATGAGGATCCTGTTCTGTTCCTGTTAGGCCTTCCATCTCACCCCTCTTTTCAGACTATCCAGACCCATTCAGTGTTCAGGCCAGAAAGCACCACCTCCTCCAGGAAGCCTCCTAGATTGCCCCAGCCCTCAGGGCCATCCTTGGACCATCTTGCTGTCTTTATAGTGTGACTTTAATTTCTCATTCGTTAATACCGAACTGCTGACAGACCCCTAAGCTCTTCGAGGGAAAGGCTTAAGTTCACAGGGATGGACATGAGAGCCCTTGACTCCTAGAGCGGGGAGGCTTGGAGACAAGAGGGAACTTGTTCAGAGGCACACAGCACATTAGTGAGAGAACTCGGCCCAGAGTCCAGGTGTCTTAGGCCCAGGGGGAGACATCAGTAGGTGTGTGGGGAGTGAGCTCGAGGCAATGAAGGGCAGAGGCCTCAGACTGGGCTGACCTGTGTTCCACCATGGCTCTGCACTCAATAGCTGTGCCACCTAGGACCATGTCATGTGCCCTCCCCAAGGGACCTCCCGGTGGGTTGGAGTGAGGACAGCGCTAGGCCTTGGACACAGCAGGTGCTCGGTTATCATGAGGTGCTCATTATTACTTTTGATCCATTTGTCTACCCCAGCTCCCCTGCCTGGCTCTCCCCTGCCTTCTTCTCTTAACCACTAAGGACTTTATTTTATTGGCCCATCATGAAAAGTCCAAGTGTCAGTGTCAAGGCCTCCTCGTGAAGCCTCTTGCAGAAGTGAGAGGGACAAGGGAGAAATCTGGGTGGTCTCTCAGTTGGTGGTGGCTACAGAGGGCCTGGGCTGGGTGCCCAAGGGGCTGAAGCCTGTGGAGCTCATGAGGTGGAATTTGGCAGAGGTCACTTTAAGAAGTCACACTGCTTATTTTAAGGAAGGAGGGGGTGCGCCCTGTCCCTGGCCAGTAGCTACACTGGGCTGCTCTTGGGGGCAGTACTCCTGAGGGTGAAGAGGCCTAGCAGGTGGGTCTGATGTCTCTCTGGGAGGCTGCTGGACGCTCCCTGGCTTCCTGCCACCTCCAGCCTGACCCCTTGTGGACGGATGGGAGCCTGGTGACCGGTGTGCCAGTCTAACTGGCTGGGGCGGGTGGGGTGGGGACTCCCGGCCCCTGGGAGGGACCCCGGAGCCAAGAGGCCCTGTGAGCAGGATGTCAGGGGCTGGAAGTGGGGGTGACTAAGTTTGGCTGTGGCTGGAAGTAAAGCGAGTGTCCCGCTAGGTGCCCAGTGGGCAGCCACAGGGCCCCCTGACGTGGCCGGGGCCCAGTTGGCAGCCGCTCTCCTTCCGCTCTGCCAGGCAGGCACAGGAGCCTCGGAGGGGGGTGCTCCGGGCGGGGGGGGGGGGGCAGAGGGCAGTGTGAGGAGAGGCAGGGCTGGGTGATAACAGCTGGGCTCAGGAGGGGCGGGAGCTCGGGAGGAGGGGCGCGAGGAGAGGCTGACCGGCTTCATTTGGAGTCGGAGCCTGGCCGTGGCTCAGGTGACCAGCGTCTCTCTCAGAGGGTGCCACCGACCGTGCCACCGGCTAGTGGGGTCTCGGCCGCAATGATCCAGAATGTCGGAAATCACCTGCGAAGGGTATGCAGGGTGGGCGGAGGGGGGGGGGTGCTGATTGGAGGCCAACGGTGGGCGGGGGAGGGGGCTGCAGGCTGGGGATCCTGAAAGAGAATTGAAGTTTCCGTTTTAAGTCAGAAGTTCTCCATCTTCGCTCTCATTTTCCACGGGCCATTTTCTAGCTCTCCTTGGAAGGAGAAACTGCAGAACTCCTAGGCTGGTTTATTAGAGGTAACAATCCCCAGACAAGGCCCAGGGGCCGTGCTGAGGGGAAGTTCTCTGCGTCTGGAATTCTATTCCGGGGTGTGTGTCTCTCCCAGCCGAGGCCTGTGTGTGCTTCTGCCGGACGTCTGCGCTCCGTGCCTCTGTGGCATGCTGGAGTTCAGGGCTCCAAGGCCCGGAGGCCACTAGAAGTTACAGGGCTGGGTGGGGAGGGGGTCGGAGTGGGTGAGGGAGGGTGTGGCAGCCCGCGATTCTCGGGGACAATGACCTCTTTCAGAGAGCAAGCTCAGGACCAGGCGTGGGCTCTTGGACAGGTGTCCTGCTAGGTGGCCTTGCAGTGCACGTTTCCCTGGAATGTCTTACCAGGGACTTTGGAGCTGAGATTAGATGTTGAGGCATGGGACAGAGCCAAGTGCTCATCACCGCCTGGCGGGGGCCTTTGATCTGGTGAACGGGAGAAGGGTGCAGGACAGACTGGCAGAGGTTGTGCTGGGCGCAGAGTGGGTGTCCTCTGAGGACGTTCTCAGGAAAAGCCTTTTTAAAGGGGGCGGGGGCAAATAAATCTCTTACCTATCCCCTCCCTCCATCTGCATGACCAGCGCTCAACTCAGACCTCAGCGCCCTCCCCCGTCCAGGGCACCTTCTCCCTGCTTCCCCGATTCCACATCCAGCCCCTCCCATCCCCTTCCACTGGAGGGTTGCTTCTAATAGGTAAATGTGATCATCCCGCACCTGCTGAGCTGGCTGCCTTCAGTATAGCCTTCCTGTTCCTTACCCGATTCAAAAGGCTCTTGGTAATCTGCTTCGGCCTGCCTCTCCCTCCTCATTCCACCTTCCCCACCCAGATAGATTCAGCCATACTGAACCACTTGCCACTGCCTCAGTATACCACCTTTGTTCTCTCCTCTGTGCTGTGGTCCCTACTGTGCTTTTTGCTCGGGTGGCCCCTAGCCTCCCCCCGGTCCTCCTGGAAAGTTACCGCTGAGCCTTCAGATCTCAGCTCAGATGCTGGACTCCTCCAGAAAGCCTTCCCAGATTTCTCAGGGCACAGGGAGCCTCTGTGTTAGTTCCTTCTCACACTGGATTGTGTGGTGCACTTGCATGTCCATCCCTCCCACCAGCCAGTGAGTTCCACAAGCCTGCTGTCAGTGTGCCCAGCAGAGGGCTGGGCATGGTCAGAGCTCCAGACAGTGTCTAATGAATGCATGGGCACAGACAACTTCTCAGTGAGGCCGAGGGTGGGATCTGAGCAGCAGGACCTCTTGCCCCCCATCTCCTGAGCTTGGAGCAGACAGCATTTTCCAGGTGGGGCTGTGTCTTCTCCTGTGCCTTCCATGATTTTTTTTCCCATTGATCCCCATCAATAATTGGGGGAGAAGGCAGTGGAGGAAGGATGTATCCTTATCATCATTTTACAGAGATAACAACATCGTAGTCGCAAATCTGTATATAGTGCTGACCATGCTACGCACTGCACCAAATGCTTTGTATATATAAATTCGTTCAGTTCTCTATGAGGTAGGTAAAGTTATCATCCCCATATCCAAGATGAGGAAACTGAGGCTCAGAGGGGTTGAGGACTTGCCCAGGCTCAGGATCACACTGGCAGGAAGTGGCAGAGCTGGGATTTGAACTCAGGCAATCTGGCTCCCAAGTCTGAGCTCTTAGGAAACTTGAGGCTCAGCCCTGTGAAAGCCAAGTGAGACTCCAGCCCACATGTTTCGAGTCTGAGCCCACAACGCATTTTGCTTCCCTACACTCTCCCACCCACTCTCCTGAGTCTGGGAGCGGGGGTAGGTGTGGGGGTGGAATTGGGCCCATGAGGTGACATGGGTGACCTCATGCCGGCTGAGAACACTCTAGCCTTGATTGCCACCTATGGACCATTGCCTGCATGGCAGATCTCCTTGGATGCCCCCATTTGCTCCCGAATTCCCTTAGTTCCCCAATGATACGGGACAGTTTGGGATGGTTTTCTGAGTTGCAACCAAAGCTGTTTTTAATGAAAAGCAAGCAAATAAAAAACCCCACCAAACTCTCTTCACGGAGGACACAGAAAGCCAGGTTAACTGGGAATAGAAGGGGGCTCTCAGATAACCCACAGCCCTGCTTCCCAGAGTTTGGGGGCCCTTGTCAGTATCCCGTGACACTGCAGATGGCGAACGTTTCGGAGTTAGGTGGTTCTGGCTCTTCCCTGCCCCTGGGCACCCATCAAGGCCTCGGAACACATGAATGAGTTGAGGGAGGTGGTAAGCCTGCCAAGTTGAGGGAGCGAGGTGTGTGTGTGTGTGTTGGGGGAGGGCACTGATTCCCTGTCTGCGTCGCGGGTGGGTGCTGGAAAGGTCCTGCTGTCCCGTCTCAGTCCTTGCCTCTCTGTGGAGACCCTCCCCTCCCCCACCCAAGTCTGTACTGGGCCCTGAGTCCCACACTTCTGGGCTGGTGAGGACCCACTGGTACCCTACTGGGAGACTGGGAACCTCTGCTCAGCCTCAGTGTTAGCCGGGTCAAGGTCACCTCCTGGGAACTTTACTTACTCTGGGAAAGCTGATGGGGCTGTCGACCCCAGCTCCCCCGAGAAGCCCCGCAACCCGGCAATGTCGCCGACAGGGAGGTGGGAGGGTCAGAAACAGCTGCGGGCATCTGCGCACGCGCTTGTGCAGCCATGGACGTACATGCTCCTCCCCACTCATGGTGGAGGGCTCGCTGCTTCGCCTTGAACCTGTGGACAGCTGGAGGTTCTCCCTAGCCCAGCTCCCTGGCCTCATGAAGGGTCTAGTTCAGACTGTGAGGAGGTTTCAGGCACTGTGTTTGCCCCCTCCCTGGATTAGAATCTTATCTTCACCCCGTTGCTGTAACCTTGGGCCAGGTGCTCCCCCTCTCTGAGTGTTCTCTGAGGTCCCCACCAGCTTTGACATCCTGGGGGCCTGGACTTTTGTGAAGGGTTTGTGCACCATCTTGAGGTTGGTCCTGACTGCGAAAGGCAGGGGCCTGTCTGCCTTGAGAACCCCGCTGTGAGGAAGAGGAGGGGAGACCCACAGGAATAAAACAACCTGCCTATCATATAGTATGAGTGCAAAAACTACTGAATGAATGAGTGACTGTGGGAGCTCAGAAGGGTGATGAAGTAGTCCCAGAGGGCTTCCTGGAGGAAGAGGCAAGACTCAGACACTTAGCTTCAGCCTGTTCAGGAACCCCATATGAACCCTGGTCTCAGCCATGGACAGACACCCTTAGTGTTTGTAGTCTGTCTGGAGGACTCTTCTTCATCTTTCAAAACCCAGCTCAGCCATCATTTCCCATTTCCATCTGCATCCTGCCTGCCCCCACAATGAATGGTGTCTCCTCAGGATATTGTACTGATTTCAATTCTTCCCTGCCCAGGGATTAGCCTGTGGCAGGTACTGAGTACTCTGTGATGAACCTAGGCTGTTGTATGGAGCTGACAGCTAATGAAGGAGACACAGTGAGAAAGTAGTCGAGTAAATATAGGATCCAAATCTGTGCCAAGCCCTGCGAACAGTAATAACAATAAGAGTAAATGCCATGTAGGTGCTCCCTGTGTGCCAAGCATGCATTAACTCATTTAGCCTTTATAACAACGCTATGAAGTAGATAACCTTACTATGCCCGTGTTGAAGATGAACCTGAGATACAGAGGTTAAGTAACTTGCCCAAGGTTACACAGCTATTAGCTTCAGATTGCAGGAGAACAGGGGACTGTGAGAGAATAACGGGAGAGGTCAAGGGAGGGCTCTCTGAGCCAGTGACAACTGAGCAGAAACCTAGCAGTTGAGAAGGAGACAGCCAGAGGAAGGCCTGGAAGGGTATTCTAGGCAGAAGGGACAGCATTCATTGGCAGGCTCCAAGGTGTGGGGGGCTTGGTGCCTCTGAGCTACTGAGTGGAGGCTGGTGTGGCTTGGACAGGATCGAGTGAGGGCAGAGCAGGTGGGAGGGCCTGAGACAAGGCTGCAGTAGGCTGGGGGTCTGGGCCTTGCAGGCAGGGTTTGGGCTTTGGAGTGCTAGGGGTTGTATTGTCCTGCCCACCAGACTGTGTGGTACTTGGGGATGCTCTGGTCCCCAGGCTTAGTGCCAAGGTACATAGTCCCTGCACACTGTGCTCAGAGAAGCTCAGAGACCTAGGGAGACATATCATCATGGTTCCCGTTTGTATGGCCAGCACCACGAAGGTCCTGGCCACCTTCCCACCCACTCCCTGACCCCTCACAACAGGCAGGTGGGTGATAGGCTCAGGCCCCTGGTACAAACGAGGCACGGAGAAGTGAGATGATGTGCCCGGGCTTGTACAGCTGGTGAGAGACTTAGAATCCTTACCTGCCAGGCTGAGACCCCTTTCCCAGTGCCTGTCCTGGCCAGGGAAACATCGGGAACCTCTGCACATCCAGAGAGTGGTCTCACTGTCACCCTCAGACCCACCCCATCACAGCCTCCTAGCCCACCTGACAATGCAGATTCAGGGCCGATCACCTGCCCCCCTGCCTCGCACATACCGGGGGCTAGCGGAGGCTGCACCCCTGCCCTTCACCTGTGTTGGGTCCAGGCTGGGCCAAGCCGGCCTCCCCAGCACCTCTGCACAGCTGCTCATGAGTCTAGAGACCTGCCTTACAGACACTAACTCACTTGACCCTGTAGGCCTTAGTTTCCTCCTCTGTGAACCCGGGCTGTTCCTGTGGATCTTGCTAGATCACAGGCAAGCTTAATGACTTTGGAGGAGTGCGGAGCTTGGCACACAATTGACCATGGTAGATATGGGTCCTTCTCTTTTCATTTCATCCGGACTTCTG